ATGAATTGAACATATGAGATGGTAAAAGATATAGTGTTTAGCACGAAGCATTTTGGCCCCAGGTGTTAGACGCAGATTCTAGACTAGGAGGATAGGAGACTGTGCTACAGTCAATGATACATAAAGTATAAAAACGGATTATTATGCTAAACACCTAATACCAGTACTTCTATCGAGGGTAACCTAAAAATGGGAAAGAAACTTGCATTGACAAGTGCTGCTTGATCCAATCTTCTCGTTGCAAGCAGTTGTCGAATATGTGGATCAAAAGATTCCGGTCTATCAGGCAGTGCTGAGCCCAACTGGTGTCGCATCATTTCTAGCTCCTTTTCAGATCTTTGCACAGCACTCTGGAACCAATTGCATTGGACAACTTTCTTTTCTGGATATTTCTTATAATACACTAACTGCGTAGCTATCCAATGGAGGTTGTGAACCACTACCCTGCAAATGTTGGTATCCAGGAATAGAAGGTGGACAATGCTGTGGAGGCGGGACCGAATATGGAGGCGGTGGACCGGCTGTCCCTTGCGGTTGTAAAGCATGATGGCTTTGCACTGCCATAGGATAACCATCCATGGATTGAGCAAAATACTGAAAACAAACATTTGACTGAAGCAGCATATCGCTGTTTAAATTCTCACCGCAACTGATTTTGTTGATGGAGAGTTGTCGAAGCTTTCCGGCACATAGAACATCGGTTGTTGTGTTTGAGAGTTCTAAAGAAAGAGATTTCTATAAGCAAATTATATATGATATGCAAAAGCCAAGAAACCTTATGAAAAGGCCCAGGTGGTGCGGTGTAGACAACTTGAGAATCCCAACTCTGAAGATGACCCTGTTGGTAAGCTGCGTTTGGTATAGTAGAGTATGACTGCTTAAAGACAGCACTAAGCACTGACTTCAAAGAAGAAAAAAACAGGCAGCAGAGAGAGGAAAAAAGAAGAGAAGAATTCGCAGAGCAACGGGATAGTTGAAAAAACTGTGATTGTCAAAAAAAAATCTTTAAAAATTAGAGCAAGAAAAGGCAGGTTTGTCAAGGGGGTTGAATGGTGGTGATAAAGTAGTGTATATAGGAATGATGTAAGAAAAATAGAAATTGGACTAACGGTGTGCTGCCAATGAGGCTGGACATCGGCTGCATCGGCTACGCGCCACTCAGCACCATATGTCACAGCTGGGCCAACTTCATCATTATTAGCATAGCCTAAACATCCTTTACATCATTAGGAAAAAACACCAATATAACTACTTTTCCTTCCCGTCAAATTCAAAAAGCCTTACCCATTTGGCGAAATTGTTCCAATGTTTCTGGATCAATTGCTTCACTGGGAAGTTCTACAACATCAGGATGTGCATGGACAACACCACTGAATGTCTGATCCATGCTTCCACCCCACGTAGCTGCTACAATTATGATAAAGCAGTGTACATATTAAAAATCGAGAATAGATATGTAAAAAA